CTTAAGGGGTAACGGAACCCGTCGCACGCAGAGGTTAGGGGTCCCCCCATCGGTATTGCAGGTTCCCGTGTTTTTTGGATTTTGTACGTGAAAAGTACAAAATCCCATAAAATATAAATAAATGGATATAAATAAATAATAATGGTATGGAAACATTCTACATCATCTTTTGACTCGTAAAAGTACTTCCCTCTTACAATTGGTGCCCTGCAAAGGACATGTTACCTCCTGCTTACCACCCAATCATCATAAACAAGTTTTTACGAAAATTACGCAACAAAAGTATGTTTTTGTACTCAAAATCTCTGTCTTGGACCTCACTCGATCGCTCTCTTCTCATGAAAATGGCCATCGGCTAAAAAAAATCTACAAAAAATCGGTTTTTCTACCATGACTTGGCAGATTCCTACAAATAAAATCGCGTCGGCCTTGCCCTGGTCCTTGCCGTTAAATAATTTGCAATTTTTTTTTGCATAAATAAGAAAAGCATGAGAAGAGAGCGATGCGTTCCGCTACTCTCAATACGTTGAAAAAGTTTCATTGATTCTCATTGCATAGAATCCAAGAAAACTTGTTTTTGGTAAACGTCTTTTTGTGGTCGGTTCCGTTACCCCTTAATCTAAACGATCGCTCGGTGGCAGGAGTTCATGGGGGAAATACAAATGTACCCTGAAATCGGTTCTCCAACAAAATCATTATAATTGATATTTTTTGAAATTCTCCGCCATATTGGGTAGGCATAAAAGGTCAAAACATACTTTTTTAGTGACTACACATGTGAGAAAAATTTCACGCAGGCCAGTTTTTTTATTGCTGCACTTTGAAATTTCAGCAGTGCCCCCCTCTTAATATATTTGAACAAAACAACACAATATGAACAAAATGAAGAAAACTACGATTACGATTTAAGTATCCAAAGAAATAACAAATAAGAAAGCTTTTGTGTCCATATGCTATAGTTAGTTTTGCTAATAAATTCGGAATACGTTAGTAATATTTAATACATCGTAGAGGAGAGGACAAAATAAAACAGCGGGGCAAAATGAAACCAGAATTCAGTAGAATGGAAAATTATTTAGAAGTGTTGACTGGCGAAGATTTTGTCAATGGATTAATTGAAAAAAATGAAACAGCAAAATCCAAAGTCCAGAGCAAGGCCCAGGAGGAGACCCAGAGGGGGAAAAAGGAAAATGTGATGCTGAATTTCAGTCGGATAATCCATTGACAAAATCGTCGCCCATCAAAACTTCTGAATAATTTTCCATTCTACTGAATGGAAAATTATTATTCTCATCAGTACTCCTGAGAATTAAAAAAAGTTAACAAAAAAAATTGAATAAAAACAAATTTTTTTTGCTCGAATTGCGTCAAACAGTTTTTTTGGACTGTTTCATTTTACCCCACTCTCCCCTATATAATTCATTTTCAATTTTATTTTATTAAATTGAATGAGATTTCTACTTTAACTAATTGTGTTAATTTTCAACTTAGTTTAATGTTTTCGTCATCGTGGAACAACCTTATATGTCAACGTAGAAACAACATTTGAATGCGAGTAGATAAATTGATGAATGAAAAAATGTTGTTTATTGTGAAATACATCAGAAACTTTCACTAAAAATTTAAGCTGAAATTATTTACCTTTATGTAAAGATCAGAGGGTCATAAATATTTAGAGCTATTTTTTCACTATAGAAAGTTTCACCATGTCATGGCCCTACGAGGCTAAAAACAGTTGCAAACAAGGATGAGAGTAGACAATAATTTCAATAATCTTTTCACCAAGTTCCTTCAAAATTTCCCATAGGCTGGCAATTCTGCCGTCGCCTAGCCACAGACTCGCAAACTTATTCAAAAAGAATTTCCATTGCCATCATCACCCACTATCTTCCCCATTGCCCGCTATGACTTTTCGAACCGTAAAAAGATCCAGCCGCACCGGCCACGTAACCACTGCTTCCTACCCCTGAGGCACTATGCACCGAAGATTGAGATTCCCGTGAAAGCAGCTCGCTTCAGTCGACATATTTACCAGTCTCCAGCATAATGTACAGACGCTACGCATCCGTGAATCGCTGCTTCCAGCCGTTATGACAAAAAAATCTTGTTCGTCGTACGGCCGAAAATAGTATATTTCGTCATTAGGCCGAAAAATACTTTTCTGGCGAATACGAGTTTGCAGACTGACCCGAAGGCGAGAGTTGCAATCATATGAGCTGGAATGAGCTGACATAATGTACCCATGGCATATAATACTGTATGTCGCTCGGTAATAAAAGTATTATCGCCTAATGACATAATGCACTTCGTGACACCTGCCAAGTTCAGTTTTCGGGGGTGCAATGTGGGGATAGTATTTTTCGTCACTATGGCAAAGGAAATTTTACGAATATGCGTGCAGAACTCACCTTCGGCCCATCCCGCAACGACATATTTGTCATAAAAGTTTTTTTCGACACAGTGATGAAACATATTTTTTGTTACGACATTCGTGAGCAGTTTTTTAGCACGCGCAGCGTGCGTGAAATGAGGCTTTACGAAGTGAGCGACAAAAACGTGTTTGCACGAAGTGCGTAGAGCTCAAGGTCGTGTGTAAAATAAATCTTATCTTGACCTTGAACTTTACCCACGTTGTAAGGAGAATAAACACTTTAAACGCGTTAAACCGCCCCGAAAGGTGAACTTTTCTCGCAGGTTTTTTTTTGTTAAAAAAAAATTATCACACTTGTTCATGTCAGTTTTACCTATTCCCAGGTAGTAAATGCCAGTGTTGGAAAAACGGGCCAAGTCTGGCACAAGCCTGGGCTTGCCAGGTCCGGGCGGCCGAGCTTGGGCCGAGGTTCGATCATGCCTGGGAACCAGGAGTTGACCCTCGGGGGAAGGGCGGGTAACCGAGCCTTGGTTGACAGATCTGACCCAGCCTTGGCCGAACAATGGCATGTCGGTCTTCGATAACCAAGCCCCAGCCAGTGGTGCCCCGGAGCTTGGTCATTGGACTCCAGCCTATGCTGTAATTGTAAGGGTTAAGTCGGAAGGATAAGATGATGAATGGAATCATAGGGGTGGAATCATAAGGGTAATATCTGAAAAGTAAAATTGTAAGGGTGTAATCATAAAAAAAATGGTAGCATTGTAGGTATTGAAGTCACATGCTATTCGCTAATTATCACAAAAAACAGAAGAATCGTCATTCAAAATTAATCATCATTCTTATAATTATTATTATAATTAATAGTTATTATTATTGTTATTCAGTATTAATTAATATGCTGATTAAACTATAGTTGAATCACTCAATATCTCTATCAACTGAATAATAAAACGTTCAATTCGAAAAAACACGAGGTGGAATTAATATGGACGATTTGAAGGAGAGATTTTATGAATTGCGGGGTAAGCTAGTGGTTAGGGCGTCAGATTAGTAGTCGTGAGGTCGTAGGTTCGACCCCACGTTAGGGTAATATTTTAAGTTAACAAAATCAGATTTGCAGCGATGATTGCGTTAGGGTTTAGTAGGTAGGGCACAATTAATACTAAAATTCATCTTAAAAAATGTCAATTATATTGCTTTTGTTAGTTTTGATAATTGTCATGAATAGTTTGGCAGCCAACCCGGCGCCAATTGCATGCCGGTATTGATTTTTTTCCCTCCTTGAACCTTTTACGAATGCTCAGGAGTAAGATTGAATTACTTGTATTTCAATCACTGATATCATATTCATGTAATTAAGTAATGTTTAATTGAGTCTGGCAACCAACGTTGGGCCGAGATCGGCGCCCAGGCCTGGCCCCATGTTATCATCCCAGGGTTCAACCAAGTCCGGCGCGGTCCCAGCTGAGGAACGGGCCCCGAAGTTCGGCAGAACGGCCGCCGGGCTTGGACCGAGCTTAGCCCGTTCGCGTTTTTCTACCTGGGAATTCCTGACATGACATTTCTTGCTCATCCGTCCACATATAGCACCGGCCAATCCTCGATAGGCAAATATTGATGTAAAAAATCACGTTATGATTTTTCATATGTGATTGCCATGAATGTCCATTTATTTTTTCATTCTGTACGTTTCAAGCAAACAAGCCATTGTCCGACTCTGATGAAAAATGTAAACGACCCGATTTCACAGCTATTTTTGGCAAATTGTGTCAGCCATTTTTTTTTAAGTATTTAAATCATATATGTGCAATATTCAAGCTCATATGCAGCGATGTGTAATGCAAATGTTATTACAGGCATTTTAATTCCTGCTAAATAAATTATTCTGGATGGAGGTCCACTAAACATGGAAAATTGGTTGATGTTATGAATCGTTCACGGTTGGATAATTGAAAACGCGAAGGATGAAGGTTGATATTTATTTAAACACAAAATATGATAGCAAAGTAGCGAACATTCGTTCTGGATACGTTGATTGTGCTACGAAAGTTCATGTAAAATAGTATAGCATAAAAATTGAATGCGATTTTATTCACTTTCTTTTATTGCATTCACCTCGTGTGCAATCAATGCGTATCGAAATAAACTAGATTCGTTTTTATGGGATTTCAACTGGACACAAATTTCAACTATCGCATTATTGTCATTAAACCGGGAAATATTGAATTGCCAGTAATACACCGACTAAATTATTCAAACTCACTCATCAATGCGTAATACAACCCATTGCAGTTACAATATAATTTTTCATTCATAAAACAATTAACACGCCATTGAATTTGAATGGACCGATACGTGCAGAACTGTATTCTATAAATCCACATTTTAATGAATTCAAATGGTCTCCGTCACAAGTAAAATACTAACGTCGGTAAATATCGATATTCCATTAAAAAATTTGGATGATCGCGTCCAATCGTATCCCGTTGAAAGAGACCATGAGATAATGCCTTATTCGTAATTGAAATATTCCATAGACCAGTGAAAAATTTGTAATGTTTATGGGATGAGATGCGGACGGTTTAAAAGGTTGAAAAAGGGTTTTGTCTTATTTGTTACCCATTTTATTAATCAGACGGATCTTTATACATCATGTGCTCACTTCAAAAATAAAGTAATGACATGTGTCACTTTTTCGAAGGTTGTTCTTTTCAATAAAATGAGAGTCAATATAAATCTAAAAAAAAATACAATGGCTACTTTCAGTTATGTCGAATTTGTCGGAGATTTTTATTTTGTTTAAACTCGCACTGATGAAGGTCGAGTTCGAGCGAAAGGGTCCAAAATTTAAATCACATAGAGTCGGAACTGAATGAGCTTTTTGCATTCAATCACTACAGAAGAATGTTTCATTCAAGCCACTGAAATTCAAGGTCATGTTTTATAAAACTAATAATGATTTGCTTTTAATGAGAAATCACAGTAATTATCGATTTTATCAAAAAAATTTACCATTCATTTTTTCATATCGTTATGAGAACTATTTATTTTTTCAATTTTAGAAGATGAAATAGTGGTAATCAATTGTTCCTTCATGCCTCCAAGAACCCCCATTCCTATTGGAGTACATTCCTGCGTAGTTCGATACCATCCCATCACGTAATTCAGGGCTTTCAGAGCTTCACATTCACCAAACACTCCTTCGTCCTCTGACACTTCCCTCTCTTCATCACACTTCTCCTCCTTGACATCTTCATGTGGTGGTACCATTTCCCATTCTGGATCTCGCGCATCACTGTTTAGCCACTCTTCGATGTCTTCATCTGTGGCTTCACTGCAGCCTGGAAGAGCCCGCACTAAATTCAGAATATGACGTCCTGACAACTCATCAGAATCGACTGACTCTGAATGTTCCTCACTCGGAGGAAATTCCCGCCCCCAGCCATATCTGATATCTCTTTGAGTCACTTGATCCCAGGAATGAGCGAGTGAATGGCACACATCGAACATGCTAATCATCTCGATTGCGTCCGGTGCACCATGATCAGTGTCAGATGTCAACGCAATACGAAGCAGATTTCTCTTATAAACTTTCTTCATTTTTCCGATGACCCCCCGATCCATCGCTTGAATTGGTTGATTTTGCAGGGGAACGATTACTGTACACATATCACCACTGAGAACTTCAAATTCCTCGACCTTGGGATAAATGGGGGAATTATCTAAAACTAAAACGATCTTCTGACCCTCATGCTTTTCTCTTATAGCTGGAAGAAAAATGGTCTTGTACCAGTCAAGTGTAAGATCTTTCGTGATTCCTCCGCTTTTCTGCCTTCTGCATTCCACTGATAAGTACCTAATACTTTCGAAGCGTCGCGGCATTTGAGACTTCCCAATGACCAACAACGGTATCTTATGTGTACCACTTACATTAGAACAGACCATGACGGTGACGCGATCCTTCGGTACTCTCCTCTCTGAAGCTTGGTAGTCAGTCGACTTTACCGAAGGGCAATTAGGAAGCATTTTCCAGTATAATTCTGTCTCACCTGCCCGATACACTTGGTCTAAGCCAAAACCGTGCTCTCGACAGAATTCAGGAAACCATTGGCTGAATTCGTCCCTGGTTACAGACCCAGCTGAAGATTTTCCCCGTTGCATGGTCGTAGCATTTAGAGAATATCGTTTTTTGAATTTGTGTAGAAAGCCAGCGCTTGCTTTGAAACTACAAGACCCTTGTAGTGCCTGGTTGAAGACCAACGCCTGCTTTACCAAGGTTGGTCCTGTGATAGCATCACCAACATCACGTTTCTGGGTCATCCACGTATACAAAGACTTCTCCCTTGCTGTAGACTCGATGCCCGTGTATCTCTTCCGTTTCGTGCTGGATCCACATTGTTCCAGAATTTGTTTTTGCAGTAAGATATTTTCTCTATTCTTCTTTAATTGTGATATGGCCGACGGTGTCACACCGTACTCATCAGCAAGTTTACATACTGTTCCCCCATTTTCCAATCGTTCAATAATTCTTGCACGATCCTCAATCGTCAAGCGTTTTGAATCCTTCCTCGACATCTGCATACGACAGAAAACAAGAAAGAATTGAAAGCAGTTCCAATTCAATGTGTTCAAATAATAAGTGAATGTGGCTCCCTCACCTTTTGCAGCTGATGGGAATATTGTTTATCTCAATCCAATGTCAACTATTACATTCATTAGGTCAACAATATTTATCAGCCATGATTTCGCGTCTGTACACAATGACTGCGGTTAGACACCAACACTTGGTTGCGCAGTAAGATGCGCAGTGGCCTGCGCAGTAGAATCACGAGTGTATCAACTGAATTCTCCACTCGATTCTTCCAACGAGGGGAGAGACGGGTGAGTAACAGACGGTTAGAATATAGAGTTCACGTGCGGAGCGGGAGTTTCAGTTAAGGGGGGGGGGGATACGACTGCATTTATTGAAGTAGCAATTGACCTTCAGTTGGAAATGAAACACGTGCAGCGAAAACCATCTCAATTAAAGATAATTCATCTCTCAAGACTTATGAAGGATACAGATGTTTTTGTTTGATCAAATCCCCCACTTTCTTCGTGTTAAAATTTACGCTGTGACTACAACGGAAAATTTCGATAACATCAACCAATATGTTAGCACATCAAAAACTAAATTACCATATAACACGATAGATAGTGTCCATCCCACCTAAGCCGCAGAATCCTCAATAATCATCACACGATATAGTGGATGGTCTACGGTGAAAACTGTATTTTCACCGCCCTCACCGACTGGAGGTTCACATCTACCATGCAAATTAGTTTGCGAGTTTCCCAACACGATTCTGACCAAGGTCCTTCACAGGTGGACGTTCAAATCATCCTCACTATCCACTCTCCATCCATTTTGCTTTTCCATTCCACATTTCTCGATTTTTTGTAGTTGGAAAAGTTGATAATTTAACGAATAAGTGATTGCCATCATAACTTTGCCATCAAATTATTCACGCTGTCTTCATTGCTTTACGTATAATTATGAGTGAATCATCATCTTCGTAATAAGAAACAATTTATTTCATTTCTTGTTTTCAGCAAAGGTATCCTTCCGATAAACTTTAGCGAAATTTTCAGTCTAGCTATAGGAATTAGGAGAGAGAATTATTTATGTGAATTCAGAAAATTTATGAGCTCACGCTCATCGTCTCTGCTTTCAGAGATTGGGGGAAAGACGAGGAGTGAGAAAAATGCCAATAAAAACTTGCGTAATGATTCATCTTCCAATGCAGTGGATGCACCAAATAGTGCATTGAAGTACTCATTAAAATTTTTACGAATCTCGGTGATACAATTCCCTTCCAACTGAGCTTCGTGGAGGATGGATTCCAAGTCAACTGTTGGACAAGTGTAAGCCATCCTATTCCAACCCAGAATCTTGACGCTTATCGGTTTCTCCCCTTCGTATGAAAATAATGAGTGATTCAGGTTCAAACTACCGTGACAAATTGTGAAGAATGGACTCCCGTTCGGGTCACGCCTTATTTCGGTACCAACGAGGTCTTTTCTGAATTTCTCAGCGTACTCTGATTCGATAGTCGTTAGATTCTCCAGTACTCTAAAAAAAATGAATTTGTTGAATTTGATATTGTTAATTGATACGAATGGATGGAGAGTGTAATGGCAATGTCGTCGGATTCATTGGAGTACTTTATGAATTTATGAAGGAAAATTCCTCGTAAATTCACTGAAATATTCATGCAATTCGAAAATTCGCGTACCGATTTGTTTTTGTCAAAAAGACTACGATGATCCTAAGAGCTTAAGTAGCGTTTTGCGCGGGGATGCGTGCATGGAAATGTTTAATGAAAGAAACTACATTTCATTTGAGAAATTTTATTGAATTTCTAGTGGAACTGCCATTAAAATTCTGGTAGAAATTCTGTTGATTTCTTGTGTTTATTTGCACTAAATATTAAGCAATTTTCTCATGCGTTTTGCAATCAACGTTTGGTGTAAAAAATCAAAACATTGATTTTTCTATAGAATCAATTCCGTTGAGATTTTCTGTAAAAATTCTTGGGCAAGAATTTTCAATGAAGAAAAATTTCATGATATGAAAAAATACAGATGTATCGACTTTTTTCTATCAGATAAGGTGAATGTATCTAAGCTCCTCTCTGTTCCTATGCTCGTTAAGATCATGAGTTATCATATTTTAATCATTTTGACAGTCCCAAGAGTATTAAGAGTAAAATACGATCAGTGTTTTTATTTTAGTAAATAAAAAAAGTTATAGCCACTAACGAACCGTGATTTATGGAAGAATAAGAAAGACGAATCCCATTCATATCAACTGGTGCTATGACAGACTGAATTATTAAGGGGAGACTACTATGAGTTTTAAACGTCGCGGTCAATTGAAGGGAGATTTTTTATACATTGTAGATTGATTATATATGTTTAAAAACAAATAAGTAGTGCAAAAAAATTGTTTATTACTCGTTTACCACGTAGACGCTCAAAATCATTCAAATAGTCCAGAGCCTCCAATTTTTGAGCTACAGAGGGATTTTTTTTCAAAATTTTTGAAAAAATGTGTGCAATACCAATTAAGAGCTAATTTTCTGACACTCGACTTTTACACATCGAATTTCGTTTTTTAATATAAAACATTGCACCTTCTATGTAAAATAGCCAGAAAAATGTTTCTGAAAGAATGGAGAATATATTTTTAATATTTTGTGGATCTTTTTCTGACTATTTTCTGGAAATCAGAACGATGTGCCGGTTTACTGTCGATCCGGTATGAAATAAATCGATTCTTGGCCTGATTCACAGCAACTTAATTCAAACCGATTTTTCGATTTGATTTTTTTTTTTGAGTGAAATACAGGGAGAGAAATGTTCAGTAAAAATTATGGAACTCACAGTTCGCTCACCGATTACAGAATCAACTCAGAAAATTTAAGTGACGGTATCGTAATTTTCCACAGGAGATTTAGTTAAAAATTTCGGAATGCTCTGAAAAAATTCCATGACGGTTCCGTAAAATTTCCTACAACCACATTTCGCTCCGAAATTACGGAAAAGGTACATAATTTTCATTGAATATTTCTCTCCGTGTATCTTGGAACTTTCAGATCTATTAATGATACATACTATTTGGGGTGGCATTAAATTTTCAATCATTCTCAATGCATTTTCAGAGTCGAAGTAAAATGAAACATTGCACGTGAAAATTTAAAGCCATTCGTATGAATAAATTCTCCATCAACTAGAGTTCTTTCCTCAGACTCTAAATCCCTAACTAAACGGGGAAAATCCCAATTGGAATTTGAATTGAAGAAGAATTAATTGTCTGATGGGACAGAGTAGATCTAATTACAAGTGGCTCGAATTGGAAAAAGAACAACAGAATAGTTTGCACTCGTCCAAACAAATATCACCGGCAGCCACAATTATTTTGATTGGACGGCAGAAGTATTTCGGATTTAATGAATGAATGGCAGAGCGAAATGAACGCTTTTCAATTATCGATGTCATCCATTCTATTGGATTAAATTTTTTAAAGCTTTCGCATAAGTCATCAGTTTTTTCAATTCTCACTATAATTTCAGAAAATATATTCAACTTAATCGAATAATTTAATAAGAAAAATCTACTCTCCATTGCTGAAAAATCAATAACGTGCATTAAAATCGTGAAAACTCTCAATTTTAATTCACGTTAATTTTGTAATTTAATAAGGGTCTGATAAAATCCTTTGAGTCGATAAGTCACATCTGGATAATTCTGGATCTAGAGTAGACCCAAGTTCTCAGAAAAATGAGAAGAAATGAATAGTTTTATTTTTGAATAAAATTACTTGGACCTTTGTGTTTACGTACGTATAAAAGAAAGCAATACGAGAAAGTTTTAGGGGAAGATGCGCAACTTACCGGTGTGCAACTTCGAGACAGCGAGAGTCTACGGTATCGCTTGAGAAAGAATTTCCGATTGAAACATCAAGAGCAGACATTTCACCACCACCAATGCTCCTCTATCGAAATCATTGCAAAATCGAGGTACGCGGCAGCGTATCGGCCAAGAAAAAATTTGCCCCTGACAATACAAAACATCAGGCCGGTCGCTGCCGTGTATCGAGATAATTCTTCCCCTCAAATTTCACTGATTAAAATCACTTTTTACACGTGTGCCAGTGAATTTTCATTGAATAAGTGGTTCAAAGTGAAGAAAGAATAATTGCAAAGTTTGTAATCGACCATATAAGTATCACTCAGCCACCATTATTTTGATTGAACGACACAAATATTCCGGATTTAATGGATGAATGGAACCGACTGTAATAGTTAGGTGGGTGAGGTGTTGCTCCGGCGGACATCCAAGCTAAGGAGCGTTGCAGCTGGGTTAGTACTTGGATGGGTGACCGCTTGGGAACACCCTGCTCGCACAAAAAATTACGGGCGGTAGGCACGGTGTAGCAGCCTAGTGTCTCCATCTAGTCAGTGTGACAGATGGATACATTAGGGCACTGCACAATTGGCCGGCCGTGCGACTGGGGTTTTACATGGTTTCCCGTGCAGTCCTAGCTCGAATGGGGCACAGCTAAGAGTAAGACGGCCATGATACCGCAGATAACAATGAGAGGAAAAGTAAAGGAGGGGTGGCAGGCTAGAGGAGGGGTTTCAAATCGAGAACTACTTCGATAAAACCAATGAAATAGAAAAATAAAAAAAAATAATAATGGATGAATGGCAGAGCCAAATGAATGTTTTTCAGTTTGCATTAAATTTATTAAAGCTTTTGGACAGGTCATTCATTTTTCAATTTGCACTGCTATTTCTGAAAATATATTCAACTCAATCGAATAATTGAACAAGAGCAATTACGCTCTAGTCCCATTGCTGAAAGATTCACAACGTCCGTTATAATTGTGAAAACTCTCTTATAATTCAGTAGCGATCTAATAAAATCCTTCGAGTCAATAGTTCACATCTGGTTAATTCTGGAATCATTCTTAAATGAGCAATTTCCAAAAGAAACTCCAGAACCGCTAATGTTTCACCTCGAATCCTTCTGTTTCGAGATCATTGCGTAATTAATGTTTCCGGCACATTAAAATTGAATCATTCTACCAATTTAACATTGAATTGCTCTTTTATTCGAAGAATCGAGATAATTCTTCCTCTGGAGTTTCACTGATTAAAATCACTCCTCATAAGGTAAATGTACCTATGCTCTTCCCTGCCCTTATGCTCGTTCAGACGTCGCGAGCTACCACATTTTAATCATTTTGACAGCCCCAAAAATTTATTAAGAGTGAAATACGATTGGAGTTATTATTTTAGTTAATGAGGAAAGGTCTTGACATCAAGGAACAGTGATTTATTGAAGAATAAGAGAGAAAAATCACATTCACATCGACTGGTGCTACGACAGAGTGAATTCTTAAGATACAAGTTAAGAAACTTGGAATTAAAAAATGTTGATATCTCCGTCATAATAGTGAAATCCTATGGCATTAAAAATCCCTTGAGTAAGTTTTCGGATAGTTTAAAATTTAATAAAAATGCATAAGTTATAGTAATATCTTAATATTTCACTGAAATATCGGTAATTAAAAAAATAGGTACAATGAAAATGACATTGCTCCTATGCTCGTTTTGCAACCAACTGTCAACTGGAAACGGACTAAACAGATGAAAAAATCATTTAAAAGGTTGGACTGTCCAATTGAAATATAATTTTGTGCCTCGAGATATTTTTTAATGTTGTTTTATCGCAAAATAGCATACTCACAATGTTATTAGTTGGATATAACCTTTCCATATCACTCAAATCACGAGACGAGGATAGGGATATGTGTCAAACTTGCATGGAGATAAGTGAGCGAGCGTAGGGACATGAGACTTTCCACATTTATGAATGATTATTCATTAAAAAATAGTCGTTATTATGATTAATATGAGTGAATTCTAATCCTGAACGTTTTACCATCTGATTTCTAATTCAAAACGTCATATCTTCACACTCATTCCGATAGAAATATTGGACTAATGATGTGTTCACCTTAGCTAGACGAGTGTAGGGTCATTTACCTTATGTACCGATGAATTTTAGATGAACAAGTGACTCAAAATGAAGAAAGAGGAACAGAATAGCTTGCACTTATTCAAACAAATATCACCCATGGCCACAATTATTTCGATTGAACGACACAAATATTTCGTATTTAATGCATGAATGACGGACCGAAATGAATGCTCTTCAATCATCATTATCACCCATCGAAATTACCCTATTGGAGTAAAATTTGGCCACTGAAACAGTGGATAAATTCAGGATAATTTATTATTCTTAACGTGAAATTTTCCTCAAAATGGAGCCAAAAAATGGAAACGAAGGATGAAAATAGGAAAAATTATAAGAGTTGGTCTGCATTGCTCAAAAAAGTCATCAAAACAAGGTGGGTGGTATTAGACCCATACCAGACGGCATTGCCCTCAAAGTTCGATTCCATCGCTCACTGGCCGGTGGTAATTGGATTACATAATTAAATATGTTTAATGTTCATCAAAAATCTGTTCTCCTCACATCTTTGAGTAAACACCTCGACGAACCCGTCCTAACCGTTTATGATTCCTTGTAAAGTAAATTTTGCACTTGCAAAAAAAAATTGCATTGAAATTAAAAAGTACGAAGAGATATCAAGGACAAGGGATGATACGTTTTTCCTTCAGAAAATTCTGAAACTTGTGATATGCTCGATCATAAATTGATTTTGATGGTGGTGGTATGAGGATAGATTGAGCCTTCCTAGCATGACCCAGAACGTCTTCGGGAATGTTCCATTCTTCAGCACCAGAGTCAACGAGAAAGTTTGCATTCACTGACATGCTGAATGTTGAGCTCTCAATGTCCGTATCACTAAACATGTCATAAGCAGTACTTCCTGATCGCTTTCATCACTATCTGGGATAATAAAATTCTCCATTTTCTTTTATTTTTCCCCGAATTTCGTTACAATTTTCTCCTGAACAGTCACCCGATGTACAACGACGCACAACAACAATATGGCGACTGCCACTTTTATTACCGGCGGGTTAGGTTACAGAGAAGGCCGCTAAGGGCGTTGTAAATCTTATTAGACTATACATCTTCCCGAAAGCAGAGCGCATGCCAAAGTGACGATTCGATCAGCTCACTGCACGTCGCGCTTTATCGGTCCTTGGAGTGGTAAGTGATACTTACCATACTTGGTCCTCCACTTACCATCCTTGGACCACCGATTATAGAACTGTAGTGTTAAACGCCATTTACTCCCTCCCAACGGAGCCCCAGTAACCACCGTTTATCGGGCCTCAGTGACGAAAAGTATTTAACTCAATCATACGAATTCAATGAATCATTTCCCTTCCACTCTCCATTGCTAAATGATTCATAGCGTCCGTTACAATGGTGAAAACTCTCTTATAATTCACTAGAGATCTATTAAAATGCCTTCGAGTCTATAGGTCCCATCGAGCTAATTCGGGAATTATTTCGTGAAAGAGCGATTTCCAAGAGAAATGTCCAGAACTACTGACATTTCACCTAGAATCCCTCTTTTTCGACATGATTGTATAATTAATGTAAACGGCACATGAAAACATAATCGTCCTACTAATTTTACATTGAATTTCTCTTTTATTCGAAGACACGGAATAATTCTTTCTTTTAAATTTCACCGGCGATTAAAACCACTCATATGTGCTGATCAATTTTAGTTGAACAAGTGGCTTAAAATAAATTAGAATAACAGAATACAGAAATATCACCCATAGCTGCAATTATTTTGATTGAACGACACACATATTTCGAATTTAATGCAAGAATGACAGACCGAAATGGATGCTCTTCAATCATCAATATCATCCAATCTATTTGATTACATTTTCTGAAGCTCTCTGGTCGGTAATTCATTCTTTTTAAGGAGCTATTTCAGAAAAGATATTCGGAATTGTAACAAATTTATTCATATTCAGAATTTTACCAAAAAATTGATTTCATGCCTAAAAAAATTAGGTTTCCGAAAGGTTTGGTGAAATTTGGAAAGGTTAATTGAAACTATTTAAATTATTTAGTCATAAACAATGAATGTTAAGAAAATAATAATTCTGTGCAAAATATAATTTGAATGACGCTGAATATGCATGATTTTCTTTCAAATTTTTCTCACGCAATTTAATTGACAAATTTGATGATTGAAAACGGGTGATTCTATAGTGTAAGCTGTACCAAATTGTTTATTAATTACAATGACGCAAAGAGAAAGCACAAAAGAAAATATCAAATCGGGCTAAAAGGAATGAATAGAAACAACTGAGTGATGCTCATTTCAGAGGAGAGGCTCGGAGGAAATGAAGAGAATGCATGGATGATAGAATGTCATTGGACAAAATAGAGATTCGTTACACTATATAATATATGTACATACCGATCAATTTTCGCTGAATAATTGTCTCGATCATCTCCGACCTGTGTCAATTGAGCATAGAATTCTCGGAGTATGGAGAACTCCTTATGTTTGAGATCAATACTGCGTGCATGAAACCTGGCAATGGCCTCGAGTAACAGTTTCAAATGATCCCCATCTAATTTGCTAGAAACATGATGATATCCAATAGCCTCCAGGTCTTCTAGGACAATAACTGGGCGACCGTATCGACCCATGTCAGCTGCATAGCATTTGGGATAAATATCCAGTTTGTACATGCCTGTCATCTTATTATAGAACATTTCTTCATTCAGAAAACATCCGTAAGCACAACCATCCTCCTGGCAGGTGATTGTTAGTAGTTTTATGATGACGTTGAAGGGTTTAGCGTCACCTGAGAACCTGATAATCACTCGAGCCCGGTATAATTCACGATTTTCATTCACTTGAGATGTTATCAATGGCGTCACTGATGCCGATTCGAACTCCACAAATTCACGTGAGCCTGGCTCGCAAAAGCATCGATTATGCACCATCTCAGGTATCAATTCAGTCTGAATGAAACGGATGGATTCTGTCGTCGTATCATCCATATTTGAATACTCTGAAATGAAATCATCGAATGGTGTTGAGGCACTGAGACGTACTATTATTACTTTTTGGCTCTGCCAATCCAGTAGCAATGTGGACCAATCTTAATCAACTTCGTAGAGGGAAGATTCACACTATTTTTATCCTATCTAAAAAGAATGTAATAAATCCAGGAAATTACACGTTACATATCCATCCAACACACGTTTGCACCCAGAGAAATAACGCATTTGAATTGAATAGAACTCTTTATTTGAAAGTTTCATAATCATTTCCCGACCGATGCCGATGAATTTTTCTTTTTTTTTCAAATTTCTATTTGGGATTGAACAATACCTTTTTAACGTGTAAATAATGATTTCATTTCTAATAAATCTTTATTTGGATCAAGGAAGGAATTAACATAAACACAAATGAAAATCAAAGGGTCTAGCCGGATAAGCATGGTGAATCTGCCCCCAGCGAATTTCAATGCGGTAATTTTTTCACATATTCACGAATTTTCAGATCATTATATTGATTTCCTGAATTTTAATGGAAAAAAAAAGGATTTTTCAAGCTACTTTTTTTACGCACTTCAAAGTCAACTAAAAATCTGAAAAAATTCTGAAAAATCAGAAACATCTTAAATTTGAAGAAAAGATGTGTTGTTTCATTTTTTATTACTAATTTATATTTTTAATTGGCTATTCTTCCATTTAAAAAAATCATTCTTGTGAGTGCAGATTTTTCTACCACTTTGACAAAAATTGACCCTTCGAGTTTAAATATTAGAAGTTGTAGTACTAATTATCTGAATAAACCCATTCATTTGGGTCAAATAAAGTTTATTTAATTCCAATAAATCATTTCTTTAGGTATGATCTATTGAAACTCCTTTGGAAAACACGATTTCCGTTCGATGTTCTAATAGATATTCGATAGACCTAAGTCAACAGATATTGATTTTTCTACCATTCTCTATTGATGTTTGAATGAGGAACTAAAGGGAACAGCGGAGAAACTTAAAAAAAATTCATTCTCAATAATTCTATAGGGAAAATCTCAGTAGTAACACCCCGAGAGCTTCAAAATGATCGGGTATTTCCCGATAGCTTCGTTATAAACAAACGAGTGTCAATTTTTCTACAAAACTTGACACGATCGTTTGTTTGCAGGGAAGGTTGAGGGAAATACCCGATGCATTTTGAAGCTCGAGGGGTATTTGGAAGAGTATTTCCTCCTTCGGAATTTCAGTCACTGGAGGGCAGCATTTGATGTCAATGTAGTACAACCTACACTTTCACATTTCAATTATTTTGTTTATTCTCCCTTAGCAACGTGCCGTGGTTTTACCAAATTTTACCAATATAAAACCGTGTAGGTTTGTACCACGTGACATCAAATGCGACCCTCCTATTGGCCGAGATTCCGATGAGGGAAATACTCCTATTAAAAACGAAATTCAACGAACGTGTAATCGAAGAATGTCAAATTTTTAGTAAATTGATGGAATTAATCAATGAAATTTTCCCTTTATATTCACTAAACGGAGAATATAAAGAGGTAAAGGTATGTTCTTTATGAATATCTCCAGATGTAACGGAGATAAGAAAAATTTTCCTAAGAACCTTGTAGGGTGAAGTGTTATGGAAGTTATAAAAAGGTATAATTAAAATTTTAATCCTTTTCCCTTTCACTTCCGAGATATTCAGCAAAGAATGACGTCTGAAAATAAAGGGAAATATCTCATCTCGTTTTGAAATGAGTTCACTACTGAATTTATTTCCCATAGATCGACTTCATACTTTAACGTCGTCACTGATCATACTGACTGTACTGAAGTACTTGCTTAATTAATTTTCAATATTCAGGAGAAATAATTTTTATTGATGCTCTTTTCTTACCTCTTTTGTATATGTAACCTATCAGTCGATTGAATCTACTCCCAAAGTGGTTTCTATTTTCCAGCCTTCAAACACTCGATGCGATACGGTTGTGGCGTTCACGAGTTCTCGTGCTTGGTTGTCTGTCCCCTACTCCTTCCGCAATTGCGTCATGAACGTGGATAAACACGTTTGTCTCTTTACTATCCCACTACCTATCGTCAGTTCACTGAACTTCACTGGAATTTTTCAAATGAAATCATAGGGGATATGGAGGGATTGAATGGATAGTCAATAATGCAGTTTTTTGGATTCAGCATTCGAAGATGTAAGGCGGGGAGGGATTGTAGAATGAAGTAATTCCGCTCTCATACTTTTTTCAGAGAACTCACTTTGTTTTTCTCATGAAAACTTTGTGATTTCAGTAGTTTCAGAAAAACTACTGATTCAGTTTTATGTTGAATACCAGTAGAGGAAGTAAATATTCTCGTTGTGCACGAAATCAACTTTCTTTTTAAAAACTAAATTGACTGAATAACTTGGTGAAGACTCGATACTCTTGAGGGAGACTCTAAGAATAATTTGCACTAGTTGGTTTCATTGTTGTTCTACAGCTGATGATTGTGGAACATTTCGAGGGATGAAGGGAACTCGCAAGAGGGTAGAATGGAGAGAGTTCATCCGTTGAAGGGAGTAAGGTCCAAGAAGGCAATTGAACCTAAGGAAAGGGGGTGGTTATTCTGAGAGTTGCGCCGGTAGGCAAGGGAGAGCAAAGGGATTCGCGGAATTCAGGTAGTTTGGCATTTTCCATGAGGAATGGAAGGCACTGAGGTACTCTCTAAGTACCGAAGTGATTAAAGGGCTTGTGAGGCAGCAAGAACCAAATGGGAGTAGTACAATGAGTCCAAAGGGTTCCTGGATTAACCCTTTGTTACTCGCATAAAACTGCCCGAAGCGGTTCCTCGCATCACGGCACCGTGCCGTAATGTAAAGTGCGCTATTCAAAATTTTCGTCTGAATTTTCGGTGCCAAATCCCGGAAATTTTTATCGTATTCAATTTCCACTGATACTTCAGAAAATCTTGTCATTGAAAAATCAGATGTTCCATTGATTTTCTGTTCGAATGATCTGAAAATCAATAAAATACTTGATTTTTCAATTCAATTATTCCGTGAAAATTCATAAAAATCAGGAATATTCAGTAGTAATACCCCGAGAGCTTCAAAATGATCGGGTATTTCCCGATAGCTTTGTTGCAAACAAACGAGTGTCAAGTTGTGTAGGTTTCCTACAAAACTTGACACGATCGTTTGTTTGCAGGGAAGGTTGAGGGAAATACCCGATGCATTTTGAAGCTCGAGGGGTATTTGGAGGAGTATTTCTTCCATCGGAATTTCGGTCACTGGAGGGCAGGGTTTGATATCAATGTGGTACAACCTACACTTTCGCATTTCAATTATTTTGTTTATTCTCCCTTAGCAACGTGCCGTGGTTTTACCAAATTTTACCGATATAAAACCGTGCAGGTTGTACCACGTGACATCAAATGCGACCCTTCCTATTGACCGAAATTTCGATGAGGGAAATACTCAGGGAAACATGGAAATTTGATGTCATTTTGTTTTTGAAAATTCATATTGCTTTGAAAATTCAATCAAGTTGTGAAATTTCCATCTCACTCTCATTGAAAACTTATGGATTTCCTTGAATTCTACCTAAAACTTGAAATTTCATAACATTTTTTCTCCTAAATCCTATTCTATGTCACTCTTATGAGAGTTACTATCATATCTTCCATGCAATTTCAAAAACTCATTCGAAGAGTGAGATCTTTCCACTCTTCTGATCTCCCGGTAGCCACAAGTGTGGCGACGTTGTGTGAAATATGACGTTGTGCGAAATATTTTTTATTTCCGGTTAGAATAAGAGTGAATTTTCTCTAATCAGGGGCTTCGGCCGTGGTTAAAAATGCCAGAATATGCTTTTAGATAAAATGCCATACAAATTTTTTTATATTTTTTAAAGAGTTTTTCGGAAGTTATACTGAAACAGAATTTCACCGACGCGGTGTCGTGAACGCGAATAACGAAAGATCAATAAAATAATAAAATCTTTGAATAATAAATTTGTAGAAGAAATCGTTGAATGAATATATGAGGGCAAGTGTGAGGGTGTAAAAAAAGTTTTTGAGAAATATCACTTGCATAGAAAAAAAGGAAATTGTGAAAAACAATCCATTTGTATCGTGGAGAATAGGCATACCGTCGGAGGGCTGGTCACTTATTAGGAAATCACTGGACCACTCAACTGGAAATCGTGAAAGAAATCGCCAGAAATCACTGAAAATCAAATGATTTCCATTTCCGGTAGTGATTTCCAATGACTACCGGAAGACAAGTCAATTTTTCGGTTTGATTCAAATCGATATTTCGACTTGAATCAGGCCGATTTTTCGATTTGATTCAAACCGATGTCGGCTTGACATTTCTTCTTGAAATACATCAGTTTTCGATTCATATCAGACCCGGAATCCGAATTTTGATGGTCCGAGTCGCTCGACTTGAATCAAGTCGAAAATCGATTAGGCGTCGACTTGAATCAGTACTTTTTTTCTGGGTGTGTGAATTTACATCAATCCATTTAATTCTAAATATAATGCAATCGCAAACTATATGAATTTATGAGAAGACTTATGGTAACACTTGAAAATTTTCGCGGGAAAAAAAATCTCATCCTGTTGAAAGACTTCTTTCTCTCAGTGTGAGCACAAAATTATTTACCAGTAGATTTTACGATTCTTGAAATTGACAAGAGAATATTTTCTTGCATCAAGGAAATCATCTTTATGAAAGGGAATTTTTTCTCTCGGCGTATGGTTTAGCGGGGCCTCCCTCGCGACATGCGACTACTTAGAGTTTCATAGAAAAACCCAGCAAATTTGCTAGACAATTTGCTAGACAATTCTGTTGCATTTTTGCTGAACTTTCTATTTGGTTTTGGTGGGTTCTATTGAAATTTTCAATAAAAAATATTTTATAGAAGAAATCAATTGCATTCGATTTTTCTACACAACTTATTCTGTTGGAATATTTTTTATAAAATTTCCTCGCCTCAAATTTTCTTTTTTTTTTTGTTTGATTTTCTTGATGAAAAGAAAAGAGAAATAGAATAAAAAGACTAAAAATAAGAAAATTGGAGCCTAGGAAATTCTATAGAAAATATCTCAATAGAATGAGTTGTATAGAAAAATTAAATTCTTTTGACTTTTTCTGTTGAATATCACAATATCACAACTGCGAGACTATTGTTTAAAAAAATAATGGAGGAAAGAATTTGATGGGTAAACCCATCCATACTCACTAAAATTAAAATTTCTGTGGAAAAATTATCAATGATGAATAATTTTTTTTGCGTTTTGTATTCATTTTTCCTTGTTACATCCAATGACTCAACTGAAGTTTATTCATACCACTTCAAACACAGTTCAACGTCGAAAAAAACAGCCAATTTTTTAAAACCCTCGTTTTTAGCTTCTGGTTTTTTAACAGTTTTCGAGTACCCTCTATTCATGTAGTAAGCCGATGCAATTCATCGGTACATGAAAATTCTAACAGTGCAAGGGTGAGGCAAAATATCAATACGATGAACCTGTCGCATTTGAAAACCAAAAAAGCTCTAGAACGACGCAAAATTCATTGAATTTCATTCTACCATAGCCGTGGTATCGCCGATTGGAAAAATTCACTCTGCTCCATTCTCTCCTATTCTGTGAATCGAAAAATTATTAAAAACCAAACATTCGAAGTGTCAAAAGAATCCCCGCTCTTCATTTCTTTCTGTTCCCAACCCTCAACCCTAAATTAAGGAAAAATACCAATAACTTCTCGATAAATTTCGGAACGAAACCTCTAAATTCTCAGTACTAAGTAAACTCTAAATAATTCTTCAACAAAGATGAACAGAAACGATAAATGTAAGCTAAATTACTCATCTCTCCAATTATCCTCACTTATCACGAATGCAATGAAACTCCGAAATTATTCACAGGTTGGTTCCAATGTCACGCGAGTAGTCCCCCCATTACCTCGACCTGCCAGAACGATCAGCTTCAAACGAGTCAGAATAACTTTTTCCAAAACCAACAACAAACACCGCAATCCTGTAATCAAACCCTCCAGCCCCCGCTATTTGGCATCATGACCGGAACCCAACCAAGTGAGTCTTTTACTCCCCCTTCAATCGACTTAATACTTTCTCCGACAAATACATTAGAAATGAATAAAAATTTATTAAAATAAAGAAAATTCAGGTGAATAAAGTATGAAATTTTTATGAAATTATTATTTTTATGAAATTTCATAGAATTTGGTACTGGATATTCATTTTCTGTTTGATAATTGATGTTGAATGAGAAATTGTTTTTTTTTGTCTTGAAAATCTGGAAATTCATTGATTTTTTAGCCGTAATGTGAAAAATCGGCTTGAATCCAACCAAAAAATGAACTGAATCACGTCAAAAATCAACTTCAATCAAACCGAAAAATCGACTTGAATCAAATCGAAAATCGACTAGAATCGAGCCGACATCGACTTGAATCAGTACTTTTTTTTGTGTAATCTTCAATTTCTAATATCAGGTTGTCTCCAGTCCCAGCCACAATGCCAGTCAGATGCCTTCTCAAACCCTCAAAGATCCAATCTCTTGACCTCGAACGCTTACCAACAGCCCAATCAAGGCCAACCCTCTCAAATGCATCCCCAGTTGTCGCCCGCACTCCTCGAGCAAATCCGAACCTTCCTGGCTCCATCATCAGGTCCAATCTTCATCCTGCCCACGACATCTCCAACCTCCCAACCATACCCACCAGCTCTCCCGTCTCCTGATTGCCCTGGAGTAAGATCTCCCTGTGGACAGTCCCAGTTGTACCAACCGCCCCCATACTACCCGTACCCCATGCCGATGCCAATCCTGAGTCCCTTCGTGCTGCCCAACACCCCCCAGAAGTTAATATCTGACCCTGCCAATTGCTCCTGCTGCTCTAAGAAATCCTCCGATCATGCCAAGACCGTTAGCCAACAAATTGAATCTGACCAGCATTTTTGCAGCGAAACAGATGATGACACAGTCTGCTCGAAACGTAACTGTCCATCAGCGATAAATCTACAGGCACTAACAGCGCAGCTACTAGCCGTGCCAGGAGTCATCTCTTGTGCAGCTACCAGAATGATTCTGAGGAAAATTTCAGGGTCAAACGTTAGTAATCCCATTGAAGAGATCATGGAGAGAAGTCAGAATGCTTTGAACAGTTTAGCTCAAGAGCAATTATTAACTGAATCTCGAAATGCTCAACAAGTCGGTGCTCTGATAAATCTCCACATGACTGCCAATCCTCCAGCTAATATTGTGCCAATTTTAACAGCGACTCAATTGAAAGTTAATGTTCTGAAAGGACACGCCGATAGTTTAATAACTCGTCGACTGAGTGATCAGGGAATAGGGGCCGACGGTAGTGAACAATTCGATGTAATGATCCTAGGTATGAAGTCTGACGAAGAACTGCGTCAGCTCTTGGTAACTCTCAGACAGAAGGAATGCGATGAGAGAGTAAATTTGAGTTTTGCTCCTTATCGCTCACAGCGGATAATTGCTGAAACTCGGTTGAGGAATGTTGAGAGTAAAATACGACAAGTTGAGAAGGTAATGGAGAAGCGTCGGTTTACAGTGATACCACGTGACAGTAGACATGTAGATTTCGATGGTAGTGGTGGATGGCACGCGTATCCTGGTAGTCTGTCGGCTCCTAGTCCTTTTGGACGTGAAACCACAATGCAACCACAGACGTACGACTCCCCGGATCCCTTTCACATCGAAGTTCGTAGCCCGAGGAGACTGAATCTCAAACCGCACGTTGGTAGCCCAGAAACCACGTACGAACGTGAATTGGAACAGTCTAAGGAGATAACTTTTGGGTAGAAATGATTGGTATTGTGAGAATAAATTGGATATTTCGAGGTTGGAGGATTAGAGGAAACTTGCATCAACCAATTTTCTTTGATCTTCCTACTTTTCTCTTTAGTAGATAAAGATATGAAGAGAGAGAAATAATGTGAAATTATATCTAGATAATTTATAGCCAATCGTGAAGGGTGATGATGGTATTTGCGGTGGTATTGCCGAAACACGGAAAAATACAGGCTTCCATAATTTTGGGAAGTTGCCATCACACACAACGAAATTTTATAGAAAAACCTATTATTGGATTTTTAAGGATATCCAAGTATCTTCTACTATTTGGTATAGACCATACTATAGGTTCAACCATTTTCAATCATCAAATTTGTCAATTAAATTGCATGAGGAAATTAAAAAAAAAATCATGAATATTCAACTTTATTCAAATTATATTTGCACAGAATTATGATTTTTTTTAACATTCGTTGTTTGTAAATAAATAATTGCAATTTTTTAAACTTTTGGAAACCTTATTTTTCCGTCAAAAAATCCGTCAAAGACAAGGCTTCCATTCGGAAGCAAAAAGAATTGAACAAATTTCTTCCAATTCTTTGTTGACTATTTTCGTAGTGATATGGAGGGGGAAGAAGGATAGAAGAATTGTAAATTCTCGGTTGGAATTGCAGATCAATTACATAATTGCTATTTGGAACGGCGGTGGTGGCTGTGTGGTTAGAGTGTGGGATTGGCATGCGCGGGACCCGAGTTCGATTCCCGACGGGGGGGGGGGAATTTGTGACACTCTAAATCTCACGTGTTCATTGTAGAGCGGGAGTCTTGCAAGAGACGACTGTACCCGGGCAGGTTTTTCCCTCAAGTGAGATTTCCCTTGTCCTTCGGTGAATGTGGTAGCCCGAGTTGGCGGGTGGAAAGGGAACAAATAGTAAAAAAACGAAAGGGTATACGAGTAGAAAAAAATAAATAAATAATTGCTATTTGGTAGCGGAGCGAATAGAGGGGGATATGATATGTGGGTGTCGCTCAGGTAGATTTACCACAGATGATTTCTTTCTTTTACTTTTTTTCAACTTGCCTGATGAATTTAATTGAATGATCTTATTCTAAAAAGAACATACGCCGTAAACTGTAGCGTAACGCTCATTCCTCGAATTTCATTGGTCGAACATTCGGATCCGCCCGCATGTGTTCGACTTCGATCGGCTTTCGGTTTTTGTTGTCTTTAACACGCGCACTTAAGCGCGCGATCGTTCTCGTGATAAAAAATGAGGAGATATTCTTTTTTATTTCATGCTTTTCTTTCGATGGCGGGAACAATGATGGCGATAGGAGGATGCTCAGGAAAATATTGATGACTGATTTTTCTACGGCAGGCGCTCAATCTGAAAAATTTTGACGAAGTTTTTTTTACATTTCACTGTTCTTACTCCTTCATTCAGCTATCTAGAAATAACTCAAAGGAAGCTACTACTGGCTACATTTAAATGGAGTTCAAACTATGCATTCATGAAAAATGAGACACATGTCACCATACCCTAGACTAAAGCGGGAAAATTCAGTGATGTTTTTCCACTCAATAAAATTTGAAAAATCCGCATTACCAAATTCGAAATAGAAATTGAGGAGGACCGATAGAAAGTCCAATACGACTTTGCACTGAGAGAAAAATCGACATAATATGGCAAAAATAATTTCCTGAGTGGAGAACATCGCATGCATATTCGATCAATTCATGGCAAGTTTCAGACAAAAGATCAGTGCTCTTTGGGCAAAAGCAAGATGATAGTGAATGAGAAAATTACATTTTTTTCTGGAAATTAGATCATATTCCTAAAGAGACAAAGTCAGTTTGAGAGAAGAAAAAGATATTATTGCTTTCCTTTGAAGTCATTGAGAGCAAGTGACGATTATATTTTAGAAATATCTGAAAGTTCTCCCCTGTATAAATTCTGTATTCATTCAATATGAAAGTCTCTGATCCATGATTCACTGAAACTTTTAATATTTTCAGTAGTTTTCTTATCTTTTGACACGAAATAAACGATTTCTTGAGGCGAGAAATTGTCGTTCTATCGCCAAGTGTTCGGGTTCAAGTCATGAACATTTCACAGGATTTTTACACTGTCTGACTCATTATGTGAAATTCTTATCCCACGCGTTTTCCCCTTAAGAGATGAGATATTTGACGCAAGAAATTAGTTTTGTGATATTATGTCGATATTTCTCTCAGTGTAATTGAATCTCCTCGGCAAATTGCTGAAATTTTCTCCTGAAATTTTTCATGCGTTTTGGGCTGACCATTACCATCTTCACATCCCTTGAGAATTTCGTGGTTTTCGAGGCTTACTATTTCGCCCATAAAATGAATGAACCATATTTATTCATATTGAATTACGTGTTATTTAAAGAACAATGATCAATTACTAAATAATTGAATTGAGGCCATGAACTAGAAATAAACAAATATTTGAAAAATCATGCAAGTTTCTCATTGGTTTCCATAGAATCAAATCAGAGAATGACGAGCGGAGTAATGATCGAAGACGTCATATCAATCAAGAGATCGTGGATGTTAAGGTGAAAGAGGAGGACAAAAATCCTCAGGATTGTGGGGAAGACGGTGACATCTCATTCGTCACAACCTTATCAGTAGCTCTAGTGCAAACCCCTGAAAAAGATACAGTGAATGAGGAAAATGAAATATCTCTTTGTCATGCTTCTAACAAGAATCCTAGTGCAGGTAAATCTTATAATACAGTGGATAAATTCATACGAGGGATGAAGATGGAGATGTTGAAACGGTTGCCGACCGTAAGATATAATTTTCCTTCGCTTCGTATCTACTTAGGAAATCCGTATGCCAGTGAAAAGGATGAAGGAACCGAGAATCGTATTACGGAGGAAAAAAAGTGAGTCTAACATCATGTTGATCCAGACGGAATATTTTCCGTGGAGATGGGTATGAAAAGACCATTGATGGAGAACTCCTGAGATCCTCTATAAAACGAAAAAAATCAGAGAGCACAGATATTAAAACGAGTGGAAAAAATGAAATGGAGGATTTCAATAATATCAAAGAATTACTTGGAAAATCCCTATTTTTTGTGAATCCCGGAATAAAAAAAAAATTCTCGAATAATGTACTTTTAGTCAATGGGGAAGACTTGAATGGAGCAATGAAGAGATGAGAAGTTCATCCGGATTTCAAGTAATTAATATCATAGTATATCACTGAATGAATTTCTCAAGTGCTCGATAATATGTTGATTTTATTCTAAAACAGTAAGGATGCAATGAACTAAACTCACTCGTCAATTTACCTTGATTTCAGTGCAAATTTACACTTCACCGAACGAGTCCTCCACTTTCGATAGAAAAGAAAAGACCAAATCTCATTTCACAAAAATGACAATATAGTATATTTCAGGAAATCGATAATGAATTTTTCGATTCTCAATTTGATTTTGTCGAATTCAATGTGGCATCAGATTCGCGAAATACCACATCGGCACCGGGCATTGATGGAATTAATTATCAAGCGATTAAGAAACTTCCAATAAAATTCAAACTTTTGCTACTGGATATATACAATGAAATGTACCAGACTCGGAGAGGGAGTGACCGTCGTATGTGTTGGACGCGGTTGAGCGTGGGTCTGCGGTTTTTTCGCAATTATTGTGTTTATTCTCGACCAAGTGGGGGCCGAATTGATTGAATAGTATTCTTAATCACGTTGATCACCCGAGGAAGTGTTATCTCNGTACCAGACTCAGGATTCCCGGTGGCTTGGCGCAGTGGGTAAATTCGTTGCCTCACGTGCGAAACGTTCCGAGTTCAAAACCCGGCCGGGTAGAATGGTGAGATCTAACCATATAAAGTCTTGATCATCATCACAGCATACTCTAATCGGGTCGAAGCGATGTAAAATAACGATAAAAAATCGACTCAGGATTACCCCTAGTGATGCCGTCGAGACTAGTTGAGAATTATTTTGAAGGGATCATCACGGTCTGAAAAAACATCGAAAGTTTAGGAATCGTCGCAATCTCGAAAGACATTGGATCGGTGCATCTCGTCACAATTCTGAGAGGATTTATCTTACGTGGATCTCGAGATTTTCGGTTTTTTAAGTTCACGCGACGAGACGAGACAGATATTTGAGACAAATATTTGAAAAACAGAAAATACTGAAACTCAGACGAGATGGATTCTTTCAAGTTCGTGACGAGATGCACCGATCCAATGTCTTTCGAGATTACGACGATTCCTAAACTTTCGATGTTTTCTTAGACCGTGATGATCTTTCCAAAATAATTCTCGTCTAGTCTTGACGGCATCACTAATTACCCCTTAAGCTGGAAAAATAATATGTTCATTTTATAGGAAAATCAGATGGTGCTAGCGTCGGCCAATAACACTTTCTTCATGTTTGGGTAAACTATTTGAAACTATTGTTAAAAATAGATTACAGTGGCATTTCGAATACAATGAGATGATTCCTAAAAGTCAGACAGGGTTCAGAAAGGGAGTATCTACAAGTAATATCCTGCTTAACTTTACACTCTTTGTAGAACATGTTTCCAATAAGTGGCAACATGCATTTGGAACTTTTCTAATGTATGTGGAACTTTTGATAATGTAAATATTAGTATATTATTGGACAAATTGGCTGCAGCGGGTTGCTCAAGTAAAATAATAAATTTTGTACATTTTTTAACTTATGGAAGATACATAAATGTGACCGAAGGAAAGAATCCTAGATTGGTATTTAAAGGTGTTCCACAGGGGGAGGGAGGTGTTCAGTCCATTGTTGTATATTTTGCTTTCGAATGGAAGCTTTGTAATCGTTCAAAATTAAGTTTCCAAATTTTTGTGGCAGGGTAATTAAATATGGTCTAAAAAGTATAAATATGCGATTTTTAGATGGTGTCTGTATGTATGTATGTATGTATGTATGTATGTATGTATGTATGTATGTATGTGTGTGTACTTTTTTTCAATTTTTTTTCGCAATTTTCTTTATAGGAACTTGATGAAATTTCATGAATTTTTCCATGGATATAGACGTTAATATGCTCTGTTCATCGACACCAATTAAAGTTGACTTATTCACAGAGTTTGTGAAATATTGGTATTTTTTCAAAAATTGATTTTTCGACGCTCAGTCTAAGAATTGTTATCAGAATGAAATTAATCCTGGCTTAAGGAACTTCCGCAGTAAGTATACTTGGTGAAAATTTCGAAATGGTATAAAGACGCAATATTTGGTTCATATATTGTTGACCACATTCAAAAACTATTCCCAAAATTTCAAGTACCTTGTCCACCCCATTTTCGAGATATACATCGTCAAAAATGGAAAAAACACAAAAATTGAATGTTTGGCGATGCATATCTCAAAAATGGGGTGGACCAGGGACTTGAAATTTTGGGAATATCTTTTTAATGTGGTCAACAACATATGATCCAAATATTGCGTCTTTATACCATTTCGAAATTTTCACCAAGTATACTTACTGCGGAAGTACCTTAAAAAAATTTGTATTGATAGCCTCTTGATTCTATCAGAATATGATGCGGATCGCATCTATCACTATTAAGCTACAGCATAGAGTTTGTCAGATTTTTTTTTTCATTTTTTTCATGATAAACTGGAAAAGTTAACTGTCATATCAATGAAATCATGGCTCAAAAAGATTGTTTTGGTGCTTTCTCGATGAAGTGCAAAGATGATGAAAGCAGCATAACTATTTATTAAGTTGCATACTAGCAATATGAAACTTTAGGTCATATGGAGGTCATATGCGGCAATATGAGGGTCATATAGGCTCACAAAAGGGTAATATAGGGATCATAAGAGAGTCATATGGGTGTTACTATTCAAAACAATAAAAAATAAGAGTAATAAATTTCAAAAATAGAGAATCCATTCAGAAGCATATTGCTAATTTGTTAGCAACATAAACTATACCCATATACAGAAAATACGATTATCCACTTGTTTTATGTTAATAATATAACTAATGGCATTCCGCAGTGAGTATTTCACGCACGAAAAAGTTCAATAGAAAAACCTATCGAATTCGTTAGAAAATTCTATTGAATTTCTATCAAACTTTCTATTAGTTTTTGGCTGATTCTATTGGCATGTTCAGTAGAAAACATTCAACAGAACAAGTCAACAGAATTTGATTTTTCTATATAACTTATTCTTTTCATATATTTTCTACAGAATTTGCTCGACTCAAATTTTCTAAGTTTTTTTCATTCTATTTTTATTTTCTTCTCACCAAGAAAATTTGAGCCGAGGAAATTCTATAGAAAATATCTCAATAGAATAAGTTGTATAGAAAAATTGAATTCTATTGACTTTTTCTACTGAATATTTTCTATTGAACATTTCAATAGACTCCGCCAAAAACTAATAGAACAGTTCAATAGGAATTCAATAGAATTTTCTAACGAATTCGATAGGTTTTTCTATTAAATTTTTTCGTCCGTGTTGTATCAGAATTCGCGGACGATATAGCACTAATCACTAAAAATAATGAGCTAGAAAATGGTAAATCAGATCTGGAATTAGCAGTCAATATCGTTAAAAACAATTTGTATGAATTAGGGTTGGATCTTTCTCCACAAAAAACTAAATTTATCCACTTTAATAGACAGGGCTTTAATCCGGGTGATATACATTTAAGAGTAGGGGACCATGACCTTCCTTTTAAATATAAAGTCAAGTTTTTGGGAATTGTTTTTGATCCTAAATTGACTTTTAAGGATCATGTGGCTGAAGTGGAAAAAAAGTGCAATAAAGCGTTAAATATAGTCAAATATCTGAGGGGAACTTGGTGGGGCGCTGATCCTTCTACATTAACTGTTTATTACAAAAGTTTCGTTCAATCAATTTCCGAGTACGCCCTATTTATTTATCACCCTACTGGAAAAGATTTAAGTTACTAGAAAAGACTGAAGTTAGAAATAATTCAAAATGCAGCTATTAGGGCTGCTTTAGGTTACAGAAAAAGTACTTCAAATATTGTCATGGTGGGTGAATCTAGACTGCCTCTGATGATAGAGCGTGCAAAACTTTTGGGACACCATTTTTTTTTAAAACTCTATCGAATGAAAATTTATTAATCGATTAAATTGTGAGAAAGTATGCGTCAATTATATTGCGGAATTGAAGGCAATGAACGAACAGATGAAAATCCTAGAGAAGCGACAAAAGATATCTATGATGATGACATTCAGATTCCTTTCAGCGATTATAGAGAGCTTCACAAGAAAAATTCAAAACAAAATACTATAAAGTATCTCATCGAGCAATCAAGGTACAAAGGAAAATAATATTTTTCGAACTATTATACCAAGAAGAGTAAAACTTGATATTATAATATTAACGATAACAGAGAGTTTATAGTTTTTGTGAATAGATTGAGATCCAATCACTATCATTTGCCAAGTCCATTGGCGCGTGTAGGAATAATCAATGACCCCAGTTGTGAATGTGGATATGACGAGAAGGATATTAATCATATAGTATGGCAATTTTCTCTGTGGCAGGAACACAGATCTCTAGCCTACACCTATGCTAAACTGCAAAGATCCGGTTCTCGTCCATACAATATTAAAATATTCCTTGCAAAATCCAATGTATATGCTCTGCGAATAATATTTGCTTTTTTTGAAGAAATGCAAGATAAATGTATAAGGGAAAGAAAACAAAACTAATGGTAATGAATTTGTTATATGTAATAAACTCTAAATAAACAAGTTTAAACAAAAAAATTGTTCTATGTGCGTAAAGCAGTTGTTTTCCGCACAGCGTGCGTAAAGTTTGTCAGCGTGCCTAAGGGTAAGGCCGTAATTGACGCATCGCGAAACTCACGCAATGCATGAAATAATCGTTCAACTGTTTTTCGATTATTTTTTTCAATTGCAATCATTGTGGTTGAATTCATTGCCGCAAAAGCCACACTTGCGTTGCATTCATTGTGGCTGAAGTGAATTCCCGCGAAGCGAAGAAGAGTTCAAGAGTCAAGAGCGAAGCTTT